GTACTAAGATTTTTCTGACCAACTCACCTGGACTGGTGCAACTTTTTAGATGACTTAAGTATTCCATATACTCAAACTTTCCACTCCTTTTTGTTAGTCAGGTTGTTGTTGCAAACCACTCTTGAAGCTAAGGAGAGCATCTCGGAAAATTTTCAGTTTATTAGTATCTTTACCTAACTAAAGAATGTGTGCGTATTCCAAGTCGAATAATAAGTATTCAGTGAGGAATTCAGTTTATATTATTTCAGAAGAAAGATAGATGAACTGAGTCATTTTGTCAATTATAAAGGTAAATAAGTATACAGAGTGAAAATTTTTGATAGACACCTTGTCATATAGGTACCTCAGTCTCCACCATTAGGTTAGACAGTGTTGGATCAGCTTTTCATTCTAAATGGACATAATTGTGAGTTGAAGGATGGCATATTGGTCAAATATTCCCTGTCTCCATCTATTGACCTGAAGGTGACATGTGATGTCTTCAATCAGTCAATTTTGTAGCCAGCATATTCCACCACATCATCGTGTAATCATATCCTATTGCTACTGGCTCTACTCAAAGCCTGTTATTCGTTCTGAAGGTCATGAGAACTGTCATATGAGGTATACTCAAATTTGTTAGAAACATGATTTTTGTTGTTACACCTCCTTGGTTTGATTTTTAAAGGCTTTGTCTGTCATCTACATATCCACTTAGAGGATTCGTGCAATAATCCTGTTAGGATTATCATACTGAAAAAGAAAGCAAAACTTTTTAAGATTTTACGGATGAAACTGTGGATGTTGAGGAGGTGTTTTGCACTTATAAAAGTATAGTTATACTTTATGATCTGTTTTCAGTAAGTTATATTTTAAAATTACTTCACTTGCCTGAAGATTAATGTCTTGAAATGGAAAAGAGATATCCTTTATGAAACAAATACTTATGAATTTAAGTAGTTTAGTGGTAAAATGTTGACAGTCAAGTAAATGTCAACATTCGGTAGACATTCGGAAGTTATCATTCTCATTACACGTTATCATGTTTTTTTGTACTTTCTTGAACTTATCTTATGTAACAGCCTTACAGTTATTCATTGCATCTACTACTCTTGTGATACAAGTGTCGTTACATTTTGTTGTACCATGCATTTTTCAGCTCATATATTGTACTAGATGTGCTTCAGCTGGGCAGTTAGTAATTTGAAATGTTACAAAACTCTACTAACTTACACAAGAAAGTGGCATTATAAACATGCAGAGTTAAAAACAGGTCATCATTTGTATTTAAAATGAGCACACTCTGGTTAAAACCAGAGATAGAGTTAGCAGAGTTCATATATCTGTTTTTATAGGGGGCTGAAATTTTTTCACGTCTCTTAATGTCAGTTGCTTGACACCAATCGCACTTTTAACTGTGATACTTTTAGGTGTACAATAAACAGACTACCAGTATCGATTTTCTGTTAGTCTGAACCGTGTGGGGAGATGTAGACTGCCAGGTTGGGGTCTTCGACACGAAAGGAATCAGTGGTTGAGGACTTTTATTGACATAGCTGAAAATCGGTAACAGTATCGCAGATGTATTCACTCTTTATCATCTTCTAAAGCTTGAATATTCACATTAACCTTTATATTCAGATTGTCTATTCTCTTACACTACTTTATCTACTTTGATATCACTCCTTTTCTATTCACTTGCTCTTTGTATACTACTGTAAAGTGTGGCAACTTGAGCCGATGCATCTGTGTGTGACGTTCTACGTTGATTTTGTCAGTCAGTCATAGAAATTATTTTATTCAATTCTTATGTGTCTAACAAATTATCATCATGCAGAATATTTTATAAAAAGTTGGTTACATATGAATATCACTAACTGATATAAATAACTAGAAACCACTTACACCAATATGTAATATTTGTTGACTGAATTCAAGTGATGTGAGCAGGGAATTGCTGTTGTGCTCACTTTTATATGGGTCTATCATCTCAAAGAGCCGACCTTAAAAAAACAAACAAATTCAATCGGATCAGGTAATTGGGTCTACTGATAACTCTGAAAATCACCATGAGTTGAGATCTTTACAAACATTTATTCTGAATCAGATATGGGCTGGTCATAAGGGTTTACAAGCGAAAAAAATTGATGAGTAATATTGACAACTTTATATGGTCGAACAAGGGAGGATTATCTTAACTCATTAGTCTGGTGGATAATAGTTACAAGTTCGTGTACACTTGTGTGAACGTCAGTGTTCACTAGTGCACAAGTAATTTCCACTAATGAGTAGAATATCCATTCTACTATTGATAATTGTATGGTTACACAAAAAGTTATTTTATTTCATGAGCTTGGTGCTCAGAAATGTGTATTTTTTGAGCTAGACTTTCAATTAGTGGGTTATAGTTTCCAAGACTATTGCAACTAATGAGGTTTGGGCGCCCATTCGGTATCGTTATTATTTACACAATAAGTGTTATTCATAGTCTAATACACAAGCATATATACAACTGTTGACTTGTATTTACTTTTACACTTAGGAGTTGAAAGCGTTATCTGGATAATATTACTACATATGATATGTTTCCCGGCCAACTAACTTTATGCTTGATGTATGTATGTTGAGAGACACCAAAACTCTTGAAAATTTCAACATGTAGATAGATGGCAAACATTAAATTGTTTTTAGTCAGGTTATTATAAAAATTGAATTTTCATGAGATTTTAAATTGGGCTACGCAAACTCCATGAACAGCTAGTTTACAAGGTCATCATTGTTTAAACGTAAGTGTACATGTAAACTTTTGCCCTGTTTGTTGTCATTTTGAAGCGTTATTAAACGTCTTCAGTTTCTTCCTGCTTTAATTTAAACATGCCTGCTAGTGGTTTGCTTGGGAATCAGATCGAAGCGTTGATTTTTTTAATGTCACTATCCTAGTATTCATTGTCAAATCACTCCACTCCCAAATCCCAATCATATAACTTTAACTACCCACTGTTTGTTATTCCTAGAATAAATACATGGTGTTTAGTAAATAGTGTTATCCTTCATACACTGTTGACATCAGAATTATCCTAAATAACAACGAATACAGCTGAGTGTTGGTCAAGCTAAGTGAATTATTGTTATCATGTAAAGAAAAATGACCAATTCACTCATATTTTTTTTCATTTATCTCTGGTGCTTTTGATCTCTGATACTAACTACTATTGAAGTCAAATAATGAGAGATCGTAACCACATCGAAGCTAAATGCTGAAAGCTGTGTGACTAACTTGATATGGCTATGGGGAGTAAATTACGGTTTAGATGTAATTCGACCCAATAATAATTTGCTCTATCAAACAAACAAGTATAGTACAGAATTTTTATCAAGGACTAACTTCGAAGTTTTGCTCTACTTCAGTATTGAAATTAAGATATTCAAATCTTTCGGTAAGCATATTATCATTAAATGACTGCGTTAACATCTAGATCTCAGTGATATGCAAGTATTTTTGAATGTTTATTCTAGGAATTAAGAGCGACTTTAAAGACCATCCTAGCAAAACTGCTGAGATAACCATTTAAGCTTGTATATTTTATGAAAATTCGCCTTTCTAGCCCAAGTGAAGAAATCGAATTGGTCATTTCGATCGTTGCTAGAGCAGCCTTTAAAGTCGCTCAGCAAGTAATCTGTATCCAAAACGGCAGAAAATTAGACTTAAGCAATATATACGTATTATTTTAATCAGTTTTCCTTAAATAATAAGAATTTCTTTACTTTTATCTGATTTTATTTGAAGGTGTGTGAGCAGTGGTGGAGGCAGGCTGGAAAGACTGTAGAGAAGAGAGTGAAATGGTTATGTGCTACTGAAGCCCTATGTTCCACTGGGAACCCAAAGGACAAATAATAATGACTATTATTATTATTGTGTTATCTAGAATAATATCCGCTCTTATATTCTATGGATGGGTTTGATCAGTTCAGTAGCGATATCGATGATCACCTGAATAATGTTTTTTTTCTCCCCACCGTAACCATAACTCGGAAACATATCGAAGTTACTTGTTCCTTATTTTTCTCTCTGATTGGCGCTACCGTCTCATTACTTATGCTTAGTACGATTTCATGCAAGTATTAAGTAGAATATTCTAAGTCAACTTACATCATAATCAGTCAGTTTCTATTTTCTGATGTTGTCCGATATTACACCGCTGAATGTTCAAGAATGTTACCAGCAGGTTTTCTTAAAACTTATTTTAACATCCGTCTATCTGATACACATTCTCGTTCGTTTAATGTGTCTCTATTCATATGTCTGTAAGATAGAAGGGTAAATAACTATTTCCATTAACGAATGTTCATAGGTGCACAATGTTACTCATCATTGAATGAAATCTGGAGTTTTTTAGCACTTAATATTCTGAAAACAACCTACATTGGCAAGGCATTTGGAACATTGAATTTCAAATTAATAATATATGATACATGTATGTAGAAATTTCAGTTTCAATGTAAAACAATAAAAAACCACTCACATAGGAATTTTTTTTCCTTACTAACAGGTAAGTGACACAAATGGCAGTTGAATAACCTAGATTAGTTTTATTGTACGTCATATTGTGATACACGCTTAAAAGCTTGGAAAAGAGATGAGTAGATATCAGACACAGTGCATGTACAAGTTTTCTTAATCCCCGTAACTTTAATGTTCTCATTGAATATTCAACAAGACACTAGTTTTTTGACGAAACAGAAAAGTGAATTTCAAAAAGTTATATGAGTGATAAGGTGTAGGACCGTTGAGAGTCAATATAACACTATTAAATGAATCGAAATAACGAAAGGAATTATAATACTGCAGTATAAAAATAATCATTCTATGCTCGATAACAGATTCAGGTAGTATAGGCATTCACGTTCTACATATTCGCGTGTTTTTACTTATAACAAGCTAGCGAAATATATTTTTTTCTGATTCACGTAGCACTGTAAACATTTCTGTTTTATTTATATATCGGCAGATTGCTCGTAGGGGAACACTTTCGTAGAACCTGGTTTCATCAATTACCGAATAATGATAACAGGTAGATCAAAAACACTAAAACCTATTCCTTAATACCACTAGAAACAATGAGCGAATAAGCAACTTTGCATACAGAAAGTTAAACGATCACATATAGCGACGCATCAACTGTCACCAAGCAGATCTTGTAGGAAAACTAGCATACTATTATGTTGGTATTCACTTCCGGTAATATTCTACTTCATGAAAGTCTACAAAGAAAATTGAAGAAAAGAATGGTAACTAATTATTAAGCAGAAAGACTTCATTTCAAACGGAAAAGAATGGGATATGAACAAAATTAGTGTTTACATTTGCATCAGGTATAAAGAGTAAATCACATCTGATTAGTCGAACATGGAATAAATCAAATAGCGGTCATAATATTCCAGTTTGATTTATACTCTTCGTTTCATCAACTTTTCCCGTCTAATCTAAAAGAAACAACAAAATAAACAATAAATCAAATAAAAAAGGATTAACTGGGTATTAAAGTAACCAGGTTTGATAGAAAAAGCAAGAGTTAGAGAGGCTTACTTCAACATTCAACAAGTCATACTATAACTGTTGTTTCAAGAACATCCTAATCGATAGTATTTTAGAAATACCAGGCCGCTTCAATAGCCTAGTCGAAGTATATGAGGAGACGGAAGATACAATACAGGAGACGGAGTACAACGTTGATCAAATAAATGTCCACTCATCTTACTAGCTGTGTGCTCGAATCCAAGACTGTAATGGAAAATCAAATCTTAAGAAAATCATATGGTTTTGTGAGGTAAACGTGTTGTGAACAGTATGAAGGCAATTACAAACCACCTGTCACAATTCATGATTTCGATTGGTTACGTTTGGAGATTCAGTTTTTCTGACGTTCTTATAACATTTATACAACTGTTGAAATGCCTACAGTGTGTATTACACGAGTTTTATCATTAATATTTGTTCCACAGGGTTTAACTGTTTGCATCCATATGATGCAGGAGTCTTCGTTCCATTACAACATGCACTCTTTGAAGTAAGCATACACACTGGCACTGATAATTCATGCATCAATGATGAATTTGTCACACTAGTACACTGTGAATAAGACTTGCAAACTGTCAAAGTAGAAGACGGTGGTCTGGAAAGTTTCTGAGAGCGTGAAACACCTGCACCATGACATTTCTAAATGTAAGGAATTTATCCAAAAGGAAGGAAATAAAATCAAAACAGAAAAAATAATCAACTCTTACAACAAAACTAGACACTCATTTACAATTATGCCTCAACACCAAACAACCAACACATCAAAACATGCTGCAAAAAAACTCCACACTTTCAATGGTAATATACCACCTATGATTACTATTATTGTTCCTCCTCCTCCTCTTATTATTATTATTATTCGTCTTTTGAGTTCCTAGTGGAACATGGGGCTTCAGTAACACATAACCATTTCACTCTCTTCTCTACAGTCTTTTCAACCTGCCTCCACCAATGCTCACAAACCTTCATTTCTTCCTCACACCATCCCCTCCTTGTCACCCTCACCTCATACACACAACTCGTCGTTTCCCAAACGGGTTCCACTCGAGGACTTGGCCAGGCCTGGCCCGGCCCGGTCCGCCACGTGATGTCCACAAACCATCTTCTCAGTGTATGTACAGTCCACTTCAATCCATCCCAGCTTTCTTCTTCTGCATATTCACTGGGCGATAGGTTCTACCTTCCTTGGTTCGTTGCCAGCCAGCCAGACTTCCTTGCTGCTTATTCTTATTATTCAGACCATCTGATCTTCAGTATTGAGTGAGTGTACGCGACAGCTGTTCATGCATGTTTGCAGTTTGAAGGGAATTCTTTTCGTAACACCCCAAGTCTCCCAACCGTCACACAGAAGCACTGACTTGAGAGACATTAGTGTTCAAAATCCGAATCTTGTTCACGCTTTATGCCGAGTGGAGTGGAGTGCAGTGCAGTGCAGTGCAATAGATCTCCACACTGATTTAAGATTAATGCAGGAAGCCCTGTCTTGCTGTCTTTCTGATCCTGGCTTTTATATCCTCACCTGTGCCTGTGCCGCCACCTGTAGTTGAGACGATGCTGTCTAGGCAGATAGGTGAAAGAGACAACTTCCCTCAGACTTCTCCCGTCGGTGATGACTGGTGCTTGTTGTTGTTGTCTGGATATCTTCATCATCTTTGTCTTCTCTACATACATCTGAAAGAAGTCCCGTGTCTTCGCTGCCCTGCCTCTTCCGTCAACTTGTTGGTTTTTGCCTGTAGATCTTCGAGCTTGTGTGAGAAGACACTAGACATAAATCATCATCGCTGAAATTCAAATCTTTTAGGATCTTTTCATAAGCCAAACAGTGTATGCCCCTCTTCTCATAGCTCCTCAGTTTGTTGTATGATCCAGTCCAGTCCAATCCAGTCTATCACAATCAGGAAGATCATCGGTGATGATAGTAGGTAACCTTGTCTTACTCCTGTCTTCACTTCAAAGTCATCACTCAGCTTTCCATTGTGAATCACTTGGCATGTAGCATCATACAGCATACAGCTGCCATTGAATGAGGTTGATAAAGTTTGTGGCACTCACTCCGTAGTGTTGAAGCAGCTGCCTGCCAAATTACTTGTCGGTCGACGCTGTCGAAGGCCTTTTCAAAATCGATGAAGTTGAGGTAGAGAGTTGACTCTCATTCTATGCTCTGTTCTATGATGGTGAGTGGCGTGGCGTTGCTATTTGACCCGCACATGATATGTTTTTCCTGAAGCGAGCCAGCCTGTTCCAGTCGCAGTTTGGAATCCAGGAGTTTCATTATAGTTAAGTAAAAATCAAAACATATAAGGATTGACTGCTTGGAATACCTGAGATTTCAAATTCATGTTCTTTGTCTGCATTACTCAGTGTGGATGAAATGCCTATTGGACGTATTGAGGCTGTAAGAAAGCCGTCCTTGAGGATAATAATGATCATCAGTAGTTAGTCACAGTATCCCCTTTTCAGCTTACACTGATATATGATAATACTATCTGTTTAATGCATTTTACTTAGAATGCATAAAAGGACGAGACTATTTTTTATCCAGCAAACTATTCCAGTGTGAAATACCTGAAATATTCTTAAAGTCTGCGTAGAATTAAGATACTAGATGATTTTGCACTACTGAGCAGTTTTTAGAGGACAGGACAGGATCACGTTATCCATTTAGCAACTCAGTCAGAATCCAATAGTCTATATTTTCCTACCTCTATCAATTAGCGATAAAGTGCAACCATTATCGAATGCCATCGAACATTAGTTTTCTTCACACCTGACTTGGATAACCCCGCAGGTTATGGTTTCTTGTTAGAGCTTCAGGAAATCTATCACAAAGCATACCACTAATCAGTACTAGACATTAGACTTCTTGTCAAACTATAAGAATATTTTTTTAAACGGTCAAACATGGTTCATTGTTAGGTGAACAAACATGAAGGAGGTATTGACTACGTTTACCAAAAGATGCAGTGAAAATTCTATCTAAACAGGGGAACAAATTATAAACCAAATTACTATGAAAGACAAAAACAAATTAACTGACTGGTGTCCAGAAAATCAAATTTAAAAAATTGACCAATACAAAGTCAAAAGAAAACTCTGAGTAACATGAATTAATCCATAAACTTACACGATCAAATTCTTTTACGCGCAAACGGTTAGCATGAGCTTGCTTGTGACGGTCAAGAGTGAAAGATGCTGGATTATGATGTTCGTGTAATTTTGAAGATGAACGATGGGTACATACTGTAACACCAGATTGTCTAAGACCAACATGATCTGCTTTCTTCAAATCACCTGAATCTTTATAAGCTTTTTTATTGTTAGACATGTGAGAATCCATATAAACATCGACTTTGGCAACCGACTTCGGTGATTGAACACTGAATTTATAGTAATTTAGAAAAAGTAAACAACTTGTTTAAGATCCTTTGATGAAAATTTTGACAATGATAAAGACTTGAGGTTTTTAAAAAGCTTTCTCACCTATTTAAAATATTAGTAAGACGTGAGTTTTAAATATTTGGTAAAATGACAAAAAAGTGTTTATGAAAAAACTAGAGGTCAAGGATAGGGTTTACATAAACATTGATATAAACAATTCTTTCTATTTGCAAGAAGTCAATTATATTAGTTATCGTGCTACCATCATTTGAGTAGTGTAAAAGTTGGGAGTAGAGCCTTGCCTAAATGATATGAGTTAATCAATGAAGTTGTAAGGTCTCATCTATTGGAGTGGTGGAGTGTAAGTCACTGATTCCTAACCATCACTGCATGCACTAATCAGTTGTTATTTAAAGGAGGGAGTAGTTAGAAATCAACTAACGATGGCCGATCTCAGCACCGTACAAAAAAGTAGACTTCCAGATTGGAGTCCATGTGATAACCAAAATGAATAGTTGGAGGTTCACAACCGATCCCCAGCGACGTAGATTCATACATAATCTTAACTTCATATAGAAATCGATATACTAGATTTCGTGGCTCAGTGGTCGATGAAATTTCTGCACGAATACAAAAGGCTCGGCTGGCCTTTGCCAACTTACACCACCTGTGGCGCCACCGTGATATCCTATTGTCAGTTAAAAGTCACGTATCCGCGATCCGCCCTGCTCTCCTGTACAACTGTGAGACATGGCCATTGAAGGTGGAAGACGTGAGAAGGCTTCAGGTGTTTGACCACCGTTGCCTTCGTAGTATAGGCTGTATTCCGTGGTGTCATCACATGAGTAACGCAGAAGTCAGGCTTGGACGCAGAGTTTTAGGGAGAAGAGGTAAATCAGTTGACACGGTTGTGAACCTTCATCGACTGAGACAGCTAGCTGAAAAATACGCTACGTATGCCTAGTCGCCGTCCGCCTCGACACACAATGTTGGCCGAAGTAGGTGCAGGCTGAAAAAAGGCGCGAGGCTTCCAGACTAAAATATGGCATCAGTGTATGAAGTCTTTGACTGTTGGTTTGAGCCATGTGGAGTGATGTAGACTAGCCGGTTGGGGTCCGCAGGACAAGAGGAACCAGTGGTTGGAGACTCTAGGTGATATGGCTCAGGACTGACGTCAGTGTCATACATGTATACACACATTATCCTCATCTTAACTCTATACTGAATCTCACCATTTTCTCATTCTTCCTTTATCTCTTTTAGTAATTTATACTTCTTTTTACTGAGCTTTCTTTTCTTCATCTTCCACTTCACTGCCTTTTTACTTGATGTACTGATACGAGCTGTGGCAACTCGAACCGTTACGCAGTAATGCCCTGGTCCTATTTTGATGGATGATGATGATGATTTTCTATTTACAGAGCATCTTGTTGACGGATAATATAGTTCGGCCAAATGAAAATGCAAGAAAAATGCAGTGTTCTGAAAATCTGAGGATGTTTGGTATGTGTATTGTACATTTTAAACATAGAATGCTGCTAATACGCCAATTTAGTTTCAGAATAAAGAGCGAAGTGATCGAATGCTCTGAACACTTAGCTTATTCAGCGGATTGTATCGGTCATAATGGTCTGTTGCCTGATGAAATCTTTGCACAAATATAAGAAGTTCATTTTCCATTTGTCAACCACTAACCCTTGTAAGATATACCTACCACCTATCAAAGGACGATTTACTTTGTGCAACCATCTACTATATCTTACACAACCGCTGTTAAGCATGACTATAAAAGATAGAAGAAATGGTTTTACAAACATTCAATCATGAAATACTCAAAGAATTGGTGACATTACAGTGTGATTAATAGTAAAGTGGAGAAAGCAAATATTTTTTTAAAAAACTTACGTGATATTCATTTCAGGTGTTTGAATAGAAACCGGTTCATTACCTGAACAAACTGTCAAAGAAGAATCTAAAGCGTCCATATCAACAAAATAAGACACAGGCGATTGGTTAACATCTTTCAGAGTTAAATCAACTAAAGACTGATCTGTGAAACTGTGAGATAAACTTTCCGAAATATATGACACTGGATTTTGCGGTTGATTATCTAAAAGGAGGAGAAAAAAGTGATAAATTACGCAATAAACATTAGATTCGCATGGCACTGTAATATATTCTAATCTATATTAACCAATATAACAGCTAACTAGGAATACTGTCTTTCCCTTCCAGGGAAGAAAAGAAATTCTTCGATGGGAGAACAAGCCACTAAAAAAAGTAAGCAATTTTTAGAGGATACGCACAAAAGCCGGTATTAACTGAGTCCGACCACAGAGAACACATAAAAAGCTTTGCATGATATGAAATTCACATGGATGGTATACAGATGGACTACCTCTACGTCTCTAGATAATGATTAAAAAAACTGCTAATAGATAATGATAAAATGGTATTGAGTTTAAAGGTTTTCGGAGATTTATATATTCATTTTAGGTTGATATTCATCCTGGACTGGCATTAGTAGGAAATATGGACCACTGGGATCAGACCCGGTAGTTCACTGGTAACGCGCTAGCCGTGGAACTTCAAGGTTCTAGGTTCAATCCCCGGCAGGGTCATGGATGCACACTGAGCCCCATACTAGGAGCAGCTAGCTGTCCATTGCTGTTACGTTTCTAATATTTTCCAAACTAATGTCAGTCCATGATGAATACCAAAGTGAAATAAAATGGTATATTAAATAATAGGTACTACAAAAATACAATTTCATGACATTATTTAGAATGAAAGGTGTAAAATGAATCATCGCTTCAGTATTTAATCACGCCCACCTCAACTGTACATCAAATGAATGACACCCTCTCTCGTTCCAGCCACATTGATGTATCACTTACTGGGTGACAAAATCAACGTAGAACGTGACACACAAGTGCACCGGTTCAAGTTGCCACATTTCACAGTAGTACACAAAGAATAGGTGGATAGAAAGAGAGTGATATCATTGTCACCAACTTTCAGCCGTGTCACCAAAAGTCCCTACGGATGCATGAGTTATGATAAAAACTAATTTCCGACATTGTGTCAACCATATAACCTTAATAAATGTCTTCTAGACTATGTGAATCTATGGTCGTAGCTAAACAAGAGAAGTACAAACATTGGCAATCCATGATAACTAGTGCAAACAGGATTTGTAGCCTGAGAACTTAGCATCCTTCAACTTGGCTATACTTTGGGGTTGAGAGATGCAAAAAAAGAATAAAGAATTTATCTAAACAGATAAACCAACATGTAACATCATATTGAAGTGTGGTATTTTGAATGTTATGTGTTTTTTTAGTGGTAAGCATTGTAGTAAAGAAAGTTTACTTTAGAGAGTTTGAACCTCTCTCCAAGATATCAACAATGAGGTCACCTTTGATGTCAAGATTCAGGTGTAATATCTTCTTCAAAAAACTGAAATAAGTATCTCCCTTTGTGGTTTAGGCTTTATGTTTTGTCAATAAATCATGCTAGATATATGGCTTGTCATCAGATGAACACCGATTATTTAATGAATATGTTAACCATTGTGAAAAATAAACGAGTTCAATCAAACATGAACAAAAAGTTCTCAAGTTGATTGAAGTTCAACATAAATTTCCTATTGATCCCAATTATTGTGTCTTCAATCACTCATCAGTTGCCTTATATCACACTTACAACTTGTAGCCTTGTCTCAGGCAATGAAGTTTTGTAACGTGGATTTAAATGTCAACAAAATTCAGATTCATGTGGAGTAAGAAGATCTAATCAATCAAACAAGTAATATTCAGTTAGCAAATTTTTTACTTTCAGAGTCATCCTGATTTGAAATTACTTTCACATTTAGTACTCATACTACATAACAGTTAGAAACTATCTAATATTTAGGAAATATACAATATGAGTTGAGATATATTTTTAAATTAGGTTCACATCAACGACTGTTCACAAATATATTGGATTTTAAAAATGCAAATCAACCTATTAGACTAAAGGTGAAAATCTATTGAACTAGAGATTATTAGTCTGATGACTTAAAGGAGTTGATAATTATTTGTCTCACAGTTATCTGAAGTAAACAACATGAAAGCGCATCGAACAAACCTCTGTTTTTCAGTGATGTGCTGAGTATCTTTATACGTAACACAAAAATTCATAACTCTGAGTATCACCCGATTCCAAACATAAATAACTGGGTGGGTAAGTTAAAATACATTTCTCAGACTGTAAATTCCCTTCTTACTTCGCTTTCATTTCTGATTCCCACGTACTCTTTTGATGCTTACAGATTTATACTACTTGCTATCGACGAGTAGTATAATTCATATTCTTGCACACATGTTTCAACCACATCTTTAGCTGTTCACTTCGGTTAACGTTGGATTCTGTTCAGTTTAACATTCACTTGTTTTCTTGATGGGCTACTTTCTATCTAACATTTGAATATGTTAAACCTTTTACCTTACTGTCAACGTTTTAGATATTTTTCACACTGGGTTGCTTCGGACACAACTCAACTAATATTGATCTTACTGATACACTTCTTATGAAGTGCCTATGATAGTGATAAACGTACAGAAATCTTACGATTCAAGGTGTGTAATTCATTAGTCATTCGTGTTACTAATTAGTACAGCACTATTCCAGACAAATCCCGTGTTTTGAATTCTGCGCATCACGTTCGGTTGTTTGTTGAAGAGTCAACTAATTGCTTAGGTTTTGGATTTCTGGAAAGAAAATCACGGTGATATGATATTAGGAACTAGATCCTACAGTTTGGTCGGTTATCTACTATCTATACAGACTGATATCTCCCTCATGTATATGAAAAAGTTAATCAAAGGAATAACAACCAGATTTAAAGTCTCGACATATCCATATCCTGATACATCCAATGAAGTAGCTTTAATTATCCTCAAAACTTAATTAGAAAAATGTTTCCTTCTCTAGGCGCAGAATCACTACAACAATTGATAGTGAGGAAAGTTACAAATGCAGATATCTACAAATAATTTTTTGGTGCTTCACAGAAAAAAATGTACACGGAATAACTTACTCATATCTTGGATGGTATCATCAGCAGTTATAAAAGTGCCAGTATCCCCACCACTTACAACACACGAAGCCGTTGATATTGGAACAGAGCTAGCAGTTAGTGACATAGCTTGATCACTGAACCCTTTACGATATCCCAAGCGCTTCCGCTGCCATTGTGACAGCTCCATTTGTAAAGCTTTTGCTTGCTCAACAGGGTTTAACTGTTTGCATCCATATGATGCAGGAGTCTTCGTTCCATTACAACATGCACTCTTTGAAGTAAGCATACACACTGGCACTGATAATTCATGCATCAATGATGAATTTGTCACACTAGTACACTGTGAATAAGACTTGCAAACTGTCAAAGTAGAAGACGGTGGTCTGGAAAGTTTCTGAGAGCGTGAAACACCTGCACCATGACATTTCTAAATGTAAGGAATTTATCCAAAAGGAAGGAAATAAAATCAAAACAGAAAAAATAATCAACTCTTACAACAAAACTAGACACTCATTTACAATTATGTCTCAACACCAAACAACCAACACATCAAAACATGCTGCAAACAAAATCCACACTTTCAATGGTAATACACCACCTATGATTACTATTATTGTTCCTCCTCCTCCTCCTCTTATTATTATTATTATTATTATTGTTATTATTATTATTCGTCTCTTGGGTTCCTAGTGGAGCATAGGGCTTCAGTAACACATAACCATTTCACTCTCTTCTCTACAGTCTCTTCAACCTGCCTCCACCAATGCTCACAAACCTTCATTTCTTCCTCATCTCCTCCTTGTCACCCTCACCTCATACACACAACTCGTCGTTTCCCAAGCGGGTTCCACTCGAGGACCTGGCCTGGCCAGGCCTGTCCCGGCCCGGCCCGCCACGTGATGTCCACAAACCATCTTCTCAGTGTATGTCCAGTCCACTTCAATCCATCCCAGCTTTCTTCTTCTGCATATTCATTGGGCGATAGGTTCTACCTTCCTTGGTTCGTTGCCAGCCAGCCAGCCAGCCAGAGTTCCTTGTTGCTTGACATTAAAACAACCTTTACAATGTTGTACAGAAACTGTCAGGGGTGTATACTTAAGTTTGTTGAGGCGCTAGTCGTAAATAAATTTAAACTCTCATTGTGTGTGCAAAAGCAGTTTGTGCTTACATTAAGCCTACCTTGGTAATGCTTATTTTATCGTATTACCAAGATTGTCTTCAAATCTTATCTTTCTTATTACTGAATTCCTTTATGTCATATTCGTCCTTCCCCACTTCCAGTTTTCATATATAACCCCTTAACAGGTAAATAGGTGTTCAGACTGTTCGAAATGTATAGCGCAAATACATCACATTTTTCAGATAATCTATGTCTTTCAAAAGTAACAATTAATACTCAAGATTGCTTGGTTAATCGAAATCAATGTAACATACAAGGCTAACACTGATGATGTAATTGAATGATCTATTCTTAGATAGTCATATTAAGCACTTATAAAGTTTTCGATCTATATTGATCAATATTGTGAATAAAAAGCTAAAACTAACTAAGTTCATTTCAAATAAACTGTCTGTTGAGCAATAAATTATTGTTAACAATATATTAACTCACACTTTTTACAGATGATTGTACAATTGAAGCACTACTTCGAAGGAATCCATGACCAACAGATCTCTGTCTAGACATAGTACGTCTAGGTGGTTGTGATTTTATTCTAACGGAATCCTTAGCCATACAACGGTTAGGACGTATATAATTAGATGGCTTTGATGGAGATCCTTTAGATGTTTGCTTGCTGATTACATGTTTACTGGGAACAAGTGATAATTTCTGATTGACTGAAACTTTTCTTAATATATCAGCATTGGCAGAAATATCTTTAGCGCTTACACTGTCAGGTGAAGCATGCAGAAATTGATTTTTTACATCGTCTAGTGTGAAGTGCAAAGACCAAAAATATGCGAACAGCGTTTTATTTTTTTGTCATAATGTAAAATATTACTTATCTATATACAGTAGTATCATGGTATAACGGAAAATTATTTCAGGTACACTAGAAATAAGTAACTCGAGAAGACTACTTGTGGTATAGAAAATAAGTTAAGATCAGAATAACAATCAGTGATTCAGTATTTTCTGTATGTTCTCTCTGAACACATTTGAGTTTCTTAATGTTTTGTCATGTTGCGCAACTTTTTATGCAATTAATTAATCTCCACCATCTATAACAATTTCGATTATTTCATTGTGAGAACGACATTTGAGACATTGAAATTTTTAATTATTACCACCCTAGCCGAACCACTGTTAACTATCATACACTACACATACGTGTAAAAAATCCATAAATTAGTGATTGCACAGCTTCGAGAATGAAATCACCGAAAAAGGTCTCTTCGCTAAAGCACTTGTTGTCCTACTTCTTCAGATAATAATGTATTGTCTGTCATATCATTATGGCTTGCAAGTCTTGTGTGGAAGTAACAGCTTCCTTCCTTAATATGACTCACGATGACAAGCCCATTTCCAATTGATCACTGCTCAGTTTAGGTATAAATAATAATTCTAAGTCAAGTGCGAACAGACAATAATCTCATTCTCATGAGTGGTTATTCCAATTCACCGGGAGATGATTTCTATCACAAGCTATTATCATTTAAACAGCTGGAGAGAAGTAAAGAGTGTCAAAACGGATTTTCAATTTTCTTTGAGCATAAAAATCTTCTCCTAAGCGATACTCACTCCTGAACTCAATAATAACGGAACTCATGACACATCCCTGTTAGTATTGTTAAACAGAGAGAGTTTGATTTTACTGATTGGCTATATTCAACATTAGTTAACAACTGTTTCGATGCAAAATAGACTGAAGTGTCGTGTAATTTTATGCTACTGTGCACCTTTGTAGTACTATATAAAACGATCGTCTCTATATCAACGAATATGTTAAGCGACCAAATATACTTAATCCAAAAACATGAAAATAATACTTACTTATCGAAGGAAGTGAATTTTGTTACTCAATTTTTACATGTGCTAGGTTAGGTGAAAGTTACATATTTCTTTGTTTTTATCGTAACCAACATAAGACAGTGAATATAAATACTTATAATTTAAGTGTTTCGTCGGTTGCAAGAAAATTTCCGAACCCATCGACAACCAAGTTTTATTATCTTATCGACTCTTCTGATACATAGTGACTATTTATAAAGTACTAAGCCCAAATGACTCTAAAAGAGGACAGAAAGTATAGGAATTGCGAGTGTTCGGGTAAAGAACATTGAGTGTTCTAATGTTTTCTTGGAGGTCTCCTTGAACTCTGGGCTATCTTATTTTACCACACAATATATTGCATCAAATTTCTTTTCTCTATATTGTTTTAATCGTCTAATTGTGTCAACCAATCGCATTGTACACTCTCACCCATTTTTAAAATCATTACAACCTATCGCTTTACAGGTTGATAGGCAACTTGAGAAGAAGCACCACGGTGGATAGAAATGGGCTCTCAAGCTTATAACCATAGATCAAATGACTATTCCGGGAATACTTAACACAAACTGCAGGTCGTTACCGAAGAAAGTTGATTACCTTCAGTCACTCTTGTCCATAAATGTTTATCGAGATACGGATGTAATAACACTACAAGAAACATGGCTCCATAACCTGTATGATGATGACCTAGTCCGCTTACATGGTTTCAAAGATCGAAGCTTTTCCAAGAAGAAATGTAGTGGTGGTGTAGCAACATTTATCAATGCAAACTGGTCCACCTCCAACTATGTATGCTTTTCATTCTCTAACGAAAAAATTGAGCGCATTACCATTAAAAGTCGTCTTAAACATTCGAGTAAATACAAACATTTATGTCACACCTGACTGCAGTTTCTCAGATTCGTTAACTTTCGCCGATGAATTCACTGAATTTGCTGCTCCAACTCTGGGTACCTTATTGTCTGTAGTCTGTGGAGATTTTAACTCATGTGACTACAGTTTTCTAGTATCACTGGGTTATGAAACTATGGTTAACTTTCCCACTCGTCTTGACAACACCCTAGACTTAGCATTTACAAATGAACCTGGCATATACGAAGCCTGTAAACAGGCTACACTGCTAAATTCTGACCACTGTATTGGACGTATTTGCCTAAAGTGTACGGCAAATTATTCAAGAAAGCTTTTTGATGCCTTCGCAAGAAAGTTCAATACAGATGCTACTCAGAAGAGAATATATTGCGTTTGAGAAAATTGCTTATAGAAACAGACTGGAATATATTTGCTGATGGAGTTTTAGACAACACCATCACCAATATCACAAGCTATCTCAGATTCTGTCCCGATATTTGCTGCCCTGCTGAAACAATCTATATGAGATTTGACAGACTTTCCTCTCCTCATCTCAAGAGGCTCCGGAGAAAAAAGGAGAGGTTGTATAGGACAAGAGATCACCCTGGCGTTAAAAGATGAAACCGCCTAATTAAGTCTGAAATACGTCTGAATACTATTTACAACCAGAATTTTCAGTCGTGTAAGAACTCTTCCAATATATGGAAATTATTTAAAGAGCTTACTGCTAGAAAACAGATGGCAAAAGAAGCTTTTTCGGATGTCTGTGCGTTAGAGAAGTCATTTATACGTCGGTAAGCTGACTTAATCCTTCCTAATCTCCAAATTCAAATAGACAGCTGCTTTCTAGGTTTTAATACACAGGATGTATTTTAACGTCTAAAATCCCTGAATCCATCACAAAACCTAGGTCCTGAAGGTGTTTCTAGTATTATATTTAGAAAATGTGAAGATATCTTCAACGCATCTTCAACACAATACCAGCTGCTTAGAAAGAGATCGAAATTGTACCTGCCCCTAAATCATTTTCTGGATCAGATGTTATGTTCAGACCCATCGTTATAACTTTCCCTATTTTGAAGACAATGAAGAAATTGCTTCTCCTTGTGATTGAGCCTTCATTGATGTTTTCAGAGATCCAAAACAATTTACTTGCAAACACAGGAGAAGTACTTTAGACGCTGCCACTGTATTGTATCATAATATTGTTTCTAGTCTAGACAAAGGTGTTAAGTATGTTTGTTATGCATTTTTGGACTACTCACCAGCCTTTGACTCTGTTCCTAGACCACTCTTGTTAAGTAAGCTTGGCATAGCTAATACCGAGCCATGGGTTACAAAGTGGCTGTATTCTTATTTTTCTGAAAAGAAACAGTACACTGTTCATAAAGGGAAGTGCACCACTTCAATGCTGACTGAAGCTGGTGTGTCTTAAGGTGCTGCACTTTCTCGTTTTTTGTTTCCGTTCTTTTTGCACAATTTACTTTATTCTGTTGAAACTAATTTTACTAAGTATGTTGATGACCTGACGGTGTCTATTCCAGTTAACTCTCACTTAGATTGCTCTAAATTAAATGGATCCTTGTCTCTGATTGACCGATGGTCTCAAGTTAAACCCTTCTAAATATCAGATTGTTAATTTTAGCCTCAGGCGTAAACAAGACCTGTTTGAACTCCCTAAGTCTCATGATGCCTGTTGCACTGATGGTAATTCTGTAGAAAGTAAATCGAGTGTTAACTATCTTGGGTTGAGTTTTACTTCTGACCTTTGTTGGTCGTCTCATATCTTGTTGATTGATCATAAAAAATCCTTCGTTCAACTTATTACATAAAGAAACTGAGGCTGTCTGGTATAACTCAACTTCTACTTTTACAATCTATTAATTCTTGAATTTTACCTATTCTTCTATATTGTTCCTTGTTGATCCTTCCTTGTCTTCTAAAAAAGGGCTACGTTAGGTTGCATAGGGGTTTGAAAGCCGTCAGCAGGGTGAATGGTGTCCCTCTGGCTCAACTGATTAACGCTATAGTTGACAGAAATTTAAATTCTAGTTAGCAACTAGCTACAGTGATTTTAACTTACACTAAGCATTCATAGATCTCTCCCTATATCTCCTCAAGGAGGATAAGAAGAAACTACATAAGACTGTACACTTGCATAGCTAAGTACAAGAATTCGACTGTACCTTAACCTAGCACGTATATTTTGTGAGGAAAAAAGTTTTAGAACAGAAATCATATATCAACTTTGTAATTAATTAACAATGTAAAATGTTCTCGTTTTTAATATTCTTTACATTAACTAGATGTTTATGATAACACAATTCTTGTTGTTGCAATATATCACGCTCAGAATTTCAAATTGTACCACAAATTGGAGTAAAGTGAACGATTATTACTATTATTATTATTATTAAAAAGTAATATGGAAGGCGTGACAGATACACACTTCTTCAACAATTTGAAACTTGGCTTAAAACTTATTTTACTGGAGTCAAACGATATCGTTAAATTGAGAAAAAAGAAGACGGAAATTCAGAACTGATAAGTATGCCCATAACACAGGGGAGAAAACTGCTTGGTGCTTAATTTTCTTGGGTCTGGTGTTTTAGGATTCTAGTAAACCAATAGATCATTTTAAACTATAGAATTATAGAAAAACTGATGCTTAAAAATGGGAATCATGAAAGACATCAGATACATTGTTGCTGAAAGCTGAAATGCTGATTTAGGGACACTTGTTAAAATCCAAACATAATACAGAAAAATGGCATAAATATACACTTCATATTTACTTGTTTATTTTCCAACAGTCTGACATTAAGATCTATAGTCAACGAGCGATTTTTAATGGTGATGTTCAATCTAATACAGAATTTAAGCATAGATTAATCATTCAACAGCATAGTACTCAGTGATCATATTGGTCAGGAAATGGTAAATTATACGTTCTTTTCTAAAATTCCAGGAGGTTTTTTAGCCAGAATCTGCGACATTTAGGATATGATTCATTCAAGAAGTCAGGTAGTATGGTTCAACACTAGTAACAATAAAATGGAAACATCTACGTCTTCTATCAGATTTTCCCTTTGTATACTGTTGTGAAATACGCTAACTGGAAAAAATAGTAATTTTTTTTTCTTTGAGGAGTCATAAGTTGTTTTGTCTATCTATGAAATTCTCATTGACTGTTTCGCTCAATTAGGTAACCTTACTTAACTATCTTTAAAGGTAAAATCACAGTTTATGATGAAATCAAACACAATTGTAATAAATAAAGTGATGAAATGTCTCATCCCAAAAACAATTTTTAAAAATATATAGATAATGTAAACAAATGTAAACTGCATACCAGTTTCAGGAGATCGTGAATCACCTAAAACATCACAATGTATTTCATTGCGTTGAAAAGACAATAACGAAGCCGTTATTGAGTTGTTTTCAGGCATTTTCATCTTCATAAGCAATATCAGATTATTATCAGATGCATAGTGTTGTGGTGAACAATCAGAAGTTTCTTTCTTTATTTGATCTACTTCAGATGCATTTAAACCTTCGATAAAAACACATGGTAACGAAGAAGAATTACTGAAATTTTGGACGTTTCCATAATGATGAGAAGGAAATTCACTAACTGCTCCTTCAGCAGGACTTGATGGTCGACGAGTCTGTAAAGTATCATCTTTTTCATTCCCATCAACCTGAAAAGATAATTGGAAATCAAATCTATTCTTAAGTCTGTCTGTTTATATGAGAGTTAGACAATAAGAATTCATACTATAAGAATCTTTATCATACGCTGCTAATACATGATAAAGTAAGGTTTACAATGAAAAACACGTTATTGAATGTGGATGACCCACAGAACTATATTTCTGTTAACTAAGATCTGATTATTCAACAACAATAAGTGGAACTTCCAATACAAAAACAAATAAATTGTTACTTTTTTTAAAATGAACTAAAAGGAATTTGTCAAACCTGAGGCTCTGTTTGTGTCCAATGGATAAAATTATTCAACAGGGACATAATCTATTCCTTATTACAGATACACTTCAAAGCAGTTTTCTCTAAGTACTACTTGGAAGCAGTGACTTTTTGTGTGAATCATGTTCAAACTGAGAATGAATGTTTACTGGTAACACTATTTGATAATTACTCTGTAACGCGAATTCATTAAAATTACAGGTACTATGCCCTTTGTGTCTCTATTGTAAAGTTTCAATTTAAGCACGGCTCTGTACAACGAAATCTTTTACACGGGCATTAGTGTTTTTGCGCCTGATAACCTCTACTCCATAGAGAGCATGTAGCTGACTTAGAGTATGTAGACAATATTGTCCTGATAAATGAATACACTGAAAAATTGCACGATATCCTAAAAGTCTTAAACAGAAATCTGTGTATGCTTGGCATGCTCTTCACACCTGACAAATGTAAGAATATCCTTCTAGGCATGATTGGTCTACAAATACTCCCAGTTTAATGATAGAGAGTGAAGTGATGGAATGTGTCAACCACTTCACTTACTTGGGGAGTTACATCAGCCCCGAAAGGGCTGGTTGCTGATGAAATCTCAGCTCAGATACAAAAAGATGGCTTGGCATTTGTCAACTTGCATCATCTGCAGTGCCGGTGAGATCTCCGATTACTTTTCAAAAGTGAAGTATGCTCGTCTTACCCTCTTATACGTTTGCGAGAGGTCGTTGTTTTGAAAGCAGATATGAAGAGAGTATAGGTTTACGACCACGGATATCTTAGCAGTCCTACTTACGCGTGGTGGAATCACCGTGTGAGCAATGTTGATTTTAGGTAAAAGGTACTAGGCAAAGTAGATGGGACAGTCATTGAGACTGTAAACCTCCATCGACAGAGGTGGTTTGGTCACATGTTGAGAATGCCAAGCCACCACCTACCCTAATGTGTAATTTTAGCCGAAGTAGTATTGGGTTTGAAGAAGGATGCGTGTGGCGAAACCAAGACGTGGTATCAGTCCATGAGGTTTCTGACTGTTGATGTAAGCCGTGTATGAAGGTGCAGACTGCTTGATTGGAGTCCTCAAGATAATAAGAATCAATGGTTGGAGATTCTTGGTGATATGGTTGAAATTGGTCACAGTGGAGCAGATGAATACATTCTTTGACGTCTTCCACAGCTTGAATATTTTCAGATTCTTTCTCCTTCCATACACTTTCACTTACATGAATTTTAGTCTTTTTCAGTCCACTTGTTCTTTGCATGCTACTGTGAGGTGTGGTAACTTGAACCAGTGTACTTGTGTTGATTTTGTTTGTCTATCTATTTAGATATTTAGCAAAGAAGTTACAAGTCTATGTGAAATTGTGCCGATGAGGCTTCGCTTTAGTGATGATTTGTCACTAGCTTGGCAGATATGTGATAAAGGTATGAGCTGACGTCTGGTCAAATCATGTTTAATGATGTTCTCATTGGTTATTACTTTTCTGATGACCTTGATCAGTACCATAATTCTACTGGTTATCATTTAAGTACAACTGAGTTTATAATCGTGGAAATAAAGGCAATCCGGCTGATGGTACATAGAAAATCATATTTTATCAGATGGAATTCAAATTTTATCAATAATGCAGAATCCAACTATTGTAACTTACTGTATTAAAACAGTATACATACGCAGGAGCGTCTTCAGTTAACATTTCATCGCTTGTTTTTGTGCTGATTACAGATGATTTTTCATTTGTTGTAACCACTTCGAGTTCTTTAGAGTTAGTATCCCAAACACCATTGGAATCTATAACTTTTGATGACTGTACGTGCTTAATATGTGATACTTGATCACCACATTGATCAATAAGAGGTATTGAGCATTGAGGACTATTTAGTTTTTCTTCATTAACATTAGATACAATATTGTCTGATTTATCTGAAGATATCAATGATAATTTAGAACCTAAACAGAGTACAATTTGAGCTTCTGTTGGTTCCACTGGTGTACATGGAATATTAGCACATAGTCGGTGAACTGTATCATCATCACCAGAATCTTTTTCAGATTTTGATGACTGAGAATGGGTTCCACTGACTAAAACAGCCTGATTCGGTGATTTAACAGATTGATTTTTGAATGCAACATCAGCTGAACTTGTTATATTTGAGTTTGATGCAGAATAACTGGATAAGTTACCAAATTCAGATGACTTTCTACTATCTGTCCATGATGAAGGCGTATTAGAGAGATTGTTGAAATCAGAAGCAACTTGAATAGTATGTATAGACTCTTCAGAGGTTGCTTCATCTAACCGAGGTAATGGCTTAAAACGTACTGAATGATTACTTAGTGGAGTATACGTTTGAATTATAGGCATAGTTTCATCCTTCTCATAGCTCCTTGATAAGCTTGAAGGTTTGCTTACGAAAGAAGCTTGACTTGCATGTCGTGATGAATCAACTTGTGTATGAGACCAATTGATTCCATTACTATCAGTTGCTTCAGAAAGACTATGAAATTCCTCGACTGAACCTGATGTTGATAACGGTTGAGTGCATGGTAATTTACTTTGATTCAAGCCAGATAAGTTTAGTATCCATTCTTTGTTAGCCTATGTAAGAAAGAAAAAGACCTGGTTATTTGAGTACTGAGGCGTCATCATGAAGAATCTCATATAACAAAAGGTAGTGAATACTGTAAAAAAATATATATATAAGCAGATATCAAATGGGCACTACCAACGGAAAAAGAAATATCACTGATCAACTATACATCTACTTTAATTCACAAGAACGACACACCTTAAAACACATAAAATACCAAACACAGTCCTAAAAGCTGTAAAACGCAGTTTAGATGTAAACGTTTCTCCCATAACACACATCGAGTTAAATGTAGCGGCAAATAATCTTCTACAGGTAATAATCCATGGTTCAGAGACATTCATCATTGCTGCCCAAATCCATCAACTAAGAGAAATCAAAATGCAAAACCGACAAGTTCAAGCAACCATTCTAAGCGGCATATTCTCATGTTAACTGCCGCTACAACAAAGCGACTTCTCAACCACTTCGTCGAAGCTCCTAACACATTTGTTACACTGCACCCGAAACGAATAAATAAAATTCACCAACGATTCTAAAACTTCGCCAAAATTGACAAAAGAAATATAGGCACAGAGAACCCAGTCAGGTAAAAAACAGGAATTCGACGGGGAAAAGTGACAATCATGAGTAAGATGTTTATGAAAAGCCGAAAAGAAGAGGCGAAAGGGGAAAAGCAGATTTTCAGCACAAATCGAAGGGGCAAAGGGGCAACCGCTAGAATTTGTATCGCTACTACAACCGTTGAGGCAACCGGTAAACGACACAGACAGAGGCATATTACCAATTCCACTCCATTTTCTTCACATTCATAAGCATTTCCTCATACAAGATCGCAGAGATAACAGCAAAGACCTGCGTCCAAAAGGCCATTACATATAAATGAATCAATCCATTCAGCACTATACCACACAAGAGACACACCAAACCACTTCAAACACGACTGCAACAAAATGCACCGCAATATCACATGTAACAGCCTTATACATCAGCATTATTAAGTACAACCAACTCGGAAAAAAAAACAAAAAACATCAACAGCTGAAATCAAAAACCAAAAAACATAAACACCAAAAGAGATCACAACACACAAATAAACAACCCACAAAATCAACACCTTCACAAAGCAGAAATAATACTCCCTATCCTCATACACGGTGACACACTCACTTATCTCTGCATTTCGCCTACTCTTCTTCACAAGCATCCAGACAACCTTGGCTACGCTCGAGAAAAGTCTACATCAATTCCACCACTCCATACCATGGAATCATGGATAATTTGCATGCTTCATGAAACTGTAGTCAATTCACAAATCGGTCGCCTCACTTGTCGGCTATACATTCAGACTACTCAAATTCACTCAACCACAACACCAATCTGGGCCAATGCATTCCCATTCCCAATCAATGTATCTCCGACATAATTACAATAAACGGATTGATGTAAATCAATTGGCAGAGTTTGTCGATGCTGATACCTCGACTGCGTGTATCATGCTTGGCTTGATCATCAGTCATTTCATTCAACTGAAAGTTTGTTTAAATCCTTCGGTGTGTCTCGCTCTGCTTTGTTTTCTCACTACTCCACACTTTATCACGCAGCGCTGAGTGTGTCATATCATTGTTTTCGCTCACCCAATACAGATGATTAGTCAGTGTTATTTAAGATGTTGAAAGGTTCAATGTTTAACTCATCGCATCGATCGACTATTCACAGACACTCGACTGAATGTGTGCAAATCCTAGTTGAGTTGATTAGCTTATCCACATATATTTCAGTCAGCACTGCTTCCACTCGGTCTCACACCACTCCTCGCCTGACTACCACCTTCACGTCGAAGTGGATGTGTTATGCAAAGTGGAAAGGGACAGAGGTGACTAGGTTGTCTAGACACTAATGTCTGATGTCTCGTTCTCATGCACTCACGTGTAAAGAATGGGAGATCTAGGGGGTTAATGTGAACGCTTACCCTGTTTGCTGGTGTCACCAAGCCTCAGCTCACAGTGATCATCTCGTGATGACTTTGTCAGTACAATATTGGGGTGTAATAAGTGCGAAGTGATGTGTCCGGAGGTTGGTCAACTAAAATCCCTCCCGCGCCGGGAGTCGAACCCGGGCCGCCTGGGTGAAAGCCAGGAATCCTAACCGCTAGACCACGCGGGATGACCGCACATCCAACACCCATACCCAAACACACAGACCATTCAAAACAAATCATCAACATTCTCACAAAATTATTCAACAATCATACACAATCACCAACACACTTCACAATACACTCATCACATACAATATACAACACTCATAATCTTCATCCTCATCCGTCGATCATGCGGAACACCACATCAACACTGCGATACACAGTCACACCTCCCATCAACAGGAAAACACTAGTGAGCAAAACATTACGAGTAACAACACGCTCACAAATCAACACCACTCTCCACTACCCACTTCGGTGGCACAAACACAAATGCATGGCCACCTGCCCCATCTCCCTCCTCAATCTGCCTATCGGCCCACCTGTACACCATGCCAACGTCCTCTCTCTCCCTCTGTGTGCGCGCGCGCACGGGCGCCGACGTGCACCAAATCTTTTGTCAAAAACCGTCACAACAACAGCTACACACAAGTTCCTCGATGCACAGACAGGTAAAAGCAGACATACACGCAATCAAGCAGATACTCAGAGGACAATGCATGCGAAGGCAGGAGCTACACAAACAGATGACTAGTAGACTGACAGCCCCATCAAATCACACTCGCTTCCACTCTCTCCATCACAATGCATTCACATCAAAACCAGTGACCATGTGGAACATTTCACTCACTAGACTATGAGCTGTCAGCTACGATCTACCATACAATGGATACACCAAACAATCATCCTATAAACCATCACATCCACATACAACACCATCACCACAAACATAACAACAACACCATACGTAAGTACGTACATACACTGAATGAATATACAGTGCATATTCTTTCGGAGGACAATTTATTCCACATAATATCAATCAATATTCATCTAGACAGAGTCTATGAAACAATCCTCACTGTGGATAAACACATGTTGACCAGCCTCACTTCATGCAGTTCACTCATACCATGAATCAGTGTCACACGAGACGCACATCCCATTGACCACACACACACGCACTCGAGTGGGTGGATAAACCACTTCCAAAAGGCAAACAACAATCTATCTCTCCCACACACCCTCTTCCTTCTCTCAATTACGCGAAATGTACACACCAACAGAATGAATAATAAACCTGAAAGGTGGATAAGGCAAACAACAAAATCCAACATCCATTGAACTACTTCTTGCACTCCATCCACTGAATCTACTCACCAGGAGTGATACACAAATTAAACCATCTTTCACGGTGATGAAGACAAAACACAACAATTCATTCAAAGGCCAAACACTACACATATCCTGGAGGAACACTTTAGGGGATGCAGGCATCTAGGCGCTGGCTGTTTAATCAACATAGACAACTGGATGCATCAACAAGAGTCGAGTTGAACTGTAAGCAAAAATACGGACAGACTTGTCTTCTTGAAACCGAAGATCAGAGAACCAGTCACACAATCAACTTGCTTGTATGAGCATACACGATGAGTTGGCAAGGATGTAAGGAGGATTTAAAGGATGTGTTGGGTTGACTGAGAGGTTGGCGGCTACATGGGAGTGGGCATTGATTTTGTGCACGCGAGCGCATGTCTATGTGTGCATTTATTCGACAATAATGAATGTCTCACAATGCTGGCACGTAGAATGACGAAAATGCAAACCACTCCTGCCGGAACCCGGGATCGAACCGGGGACATTTAGATCTTCAGTCTAACGCTCTCCCTGCTGAGCTATTCCGGCGACCCTTAACAACACATTCATCACTTCTATCAACCGTCACATACACTTCCTTATGTCACACAAAACGCAAAACAACAACTAATTAAAACAAAAGCAACATTCACACACAAAACAATTCTCAACATCGACTCAACAACTAAGTCCAATGGACAATCAGCCAATTGTCTCTTAAAACACACACACACACTCAAAGTATACAATACACCCATCAAACCATCTCAATCAACTGGTCACCATAGCACATGATAAACACACACTAACTAGGTCGTTAATGCTCTCCCACTGCATATCCATATCTCATCAACACCTTCACAAAGCAGAAATAATACTCCCTATCCTCATACACGGTGACACACTCACTTATCTCTGCATTTCGCCTACTCTTCTTCACAAGCATCCAGACAACCTTGGCTACGCTCGAGAAAAGTCTACATCAATTCCACCACTCCATACCATGGAATCATGGATAATTTGCATGCTTCATGAAACTGTAGTCAATTCACAAATCGGTCGCCTCACTTGTCGGCTATACATTCAGACTACTCAAATTCACTCAACCACAACACCAATCTGGGCCAATGCATTCCCATTCCCAATCAATGTATCTCCGACATAATTACAATAAACGGATTGATGTAAATCAATTGGCAGAGTTTGTCGATGCTGATACCTCGACTGCGTGTATCATGCTTGGCTTGATCATCAGTCATTTCATTCAACTGAAAGTTTGTTTAAATCCTTCGGTGTGTCTCGCTCTGCTTTGTTTTCTCACTACTCCACACTTTATCACGCAGCGCTGAGTGTGTCATATCATTGTTTTCGCTCACCCAATACAGATGATTAGTCAGTGTTATTTAAGATGTTGAAAGGTTCAATGTTTAACTCATCGCATCGATCGACTATTCACAGACACTCGACTGAATGTGTGCAAATCCTAGTTGAGTTGATTAGCTTATCCACATATATTTCAGTCAGCACTGCTTCCACTCGGTCTCACACCACTCCTCGCCTGACTAACACCTTCACGTCGAAGTGGATGTGTTATGCAAAGTGGAAAGGGACAGAGGTGACTAGGTTGTCTAGACACTAATGTCTGATGTCTCGTTCTCATGCACTCAC